ACATATTACAGAGCAGCTATAAATATATATTAAAACGTATTACATTATATTTTTATCTTAATACTGTTCTGCGGGATTATTTGGATAAGATGATACGCCCGATTCAAGCGCACGAGGCGTATGAAGAGAAAAAATAACGAAAAAGATGGAATGGTAATAACATGTTTTACGGATCATCTAACAACTGTTTGTTGAATGGCTCATACCTTGCCATGATGATGACGTAACAATTCACGATTGTACTTTGTATACATAATTTATTAAAAAGATATAATATTTTACATATATATATGTATAGCACTTTAATACAAGACCAGTCATTTGGAAGGACGCTGAGAAACATCTCAGGAAATTTTACATTATAACCTGTTTGTTAATCTGTAACATAAAAATTAATTTTATGTTTAATGGTTATCTTGTATATTATTGCAGTTATTAAACGTCTTCCCCTTTATTTAGCGTAGAATTTTTAAATTGTTAGATAAATTATAAATTAATTTTTTTCAAATCAAAATATAAATTCAATTCACTTGAAGCAATTAATAGCTAAAAACAAAAGTTCCGCATAAAATTTTAAATTGATATGAGAAGATAATTGTATTTATAATACTGTTTCAGGAACGAGAAAAGTAAAAAGGTTATAAAACGGAAGTTATTGTATAAAATTTGAAATACTGCATCATTATATTTAATTAAATTTGTAAATATTTTACATAAATTGCTAATAAAATAATCACATAATGATATAGTCATAACATAATATGTAAATACATAAGCATCGACGTTATTTTAATTATTATATTTTATACTGTACCTTTTATCTGCAACTTTTCTCTACAAAAATTTCAAACAATCTGTTTCTTTCTCTTTGTACATCAGTACATTCCTGAAAAGCAGCTATTTTTTGGCTTTCTATGTTGTTGTTTTCCTTAATAGCAGTTGTAAGTTGAGTTATCATTTCTATTCTTTTCTTCTCATTCTCAATCATGTCTTTCCTCAATTCATATAACTGTTTCGATCTTCGTGCTTTTTGTGTTGTATTTTCATTCTGTTCATTATTTCTGCTTTGAGTAGAAGACTGTGAACAAGAACTATAACAAAGTAGAACATATTCAATAAAATTTGTATGGAAAAAATTACGCCTAAATCATCTTGGCGATTTATTAAATAAAATTTCATGTAAAATCAAACAGCAAAAACAGTGTTTTAATTGATATTCTAGAAAACCTGCGTAAATATTCATTTTCATCGCACCTTGAGGATGCCGGAATGGATGGAATTTCAGGAATAGGACTTTGATTGAGTGCAATCAATGTGGATGAAAGTGAAGTTTCTTCTGTTGCAGGTATTAATGTATTTTGTTGTTCTCTGTCTTCCTCTGCTCTTTCTCTTACTTCTGTTGTATGCATAGTGCAAACACTACTTTCTCTATAATTATTTTCAGACAAGTTTGTAGACGATAAAGAAGATATAGTATTGCCTATATTGATAGTTGCTTGGTGAGTCCAATTGAAAGTTTGTGGTATTTCTGTCAATTAAGAAACATAAAAATAAAATTACAAAAAGTAAAATAACTTAAACTGACTTTGGAAACATGACCCAAGTGCTTCTGAATATCATTTTTTGTTTTTTATCAAATATTAAATAAGAATAAAATATTTGGAAGTACTCGGGTAGTGTTTCTGAAAATAACATTGCAACCTTATTCTTTAAAATATATAAAAATATAAACAAAATTAGGCAGAATACATAATATTATAACACATTGTATGTCAATAAGCAAATTAATGTAAACAGATTTACACCAGGGTTACCACAAATTTTTTATCCCAAAATTCTCTGACTTTTCCTTGATTTCCAGACAGAATTTTATCTGACTTTTAATAACATTTTGAATTTTATTTATATTTTTGAAATTCGCATGTGTATAAGTATAAAATAGATATACTATACATGCTGATCCGAAATTCGAGGAATCAGAGTACAAAACATGATACTTTATGCTAAACCGAACAAC